AGAAGACTGAAATTATATCAAACATCTACTCAGACCACAATAGTAGAAAACTAGAAATCAAGGGTCCAGTCCAGGAACATACATAAAGGGCCCATGGACATGGACAACTGACTGTGGGATTGGGAGGGTAGGTTAGGGCTAGGGGAGAACAATAGGGAAAGATTGGGACAACTATAATAGAATAACAGAAAAATAAAATTTTATTATGTAAAGGGAACAAAACTAAAAAACATACAAACATATGTAGGCTAAATAACATATTAGTAAACAATGAATGGGTTAATAATGAAATCAAAAAGGGAATCAAGGATATGTTGAGACAAAATTGAAAATACAACAATCCAAAAAGTTATGGAGCCCAGGAAAATTAGTCCTAAGAAAAAAATTCATATCAGTACAAGCCTATCTGAACAAAAAAAAAATTCAAATAAATAATGTAACCTTATACCTAAAAGAACTAGAAAAAGAACAAGATACAAAGCCCAAAGTAAGTAGAAGTCAGGAAATAATAAAGATCAGAGTGAAAATAAACAAAATAGAGTCTAAAAAACAATACAAATTTTCATCAAACCAGGAGCTGGTTCTTTGTAAAGATAAATAGATTGGTACCTATAATCAGACTCATAAAAAAAAAAAGTGAGGTAGCGGGCACCCAAATAAAATAAAAAATGAAAGAAACAGTAGCAACTGACACCATCGAAATACAAAGAATTATAACAAAATACTATAAACAATCATATGGCAACAAATTGAACAATCTGGATGAAATGGATAAATTCCTAGAAACATACAATCTTCCCAAATGAATCATGAAAAAAGCAAAAAAGCTGAATAGACCTATTTTATTAAACAAAATCAGAGGGATAAAAATAATAAGAAAAAACTCCCAACATTTGTCCTGGCTGGTGTAGCTCAGTGGATTGAGCATGGGCCTATGAAACAAAGAGCAACTGGTTTGATTCCCAGTCAGGGCACATGCCTGGGTTGCAGGCCAAGTCCCCAGTAGGGAATACAGGAGAGGCAACCACACGTTGATGTTTCTTTCCTTCTCTTTCTCCTTCTCATTTCCTCTGTCTAAAAATAAATAAAATATTTTAAAAACTCCCAACAAAGAAAAGTTCTAGACCAGATGTCTAGACCAGATGTCTTCACATATCTTCAAAGGTGAATATTACCAAACGGTCAAAGAATACCTCTCCTTCTCAAACTATTCTGAAAGGCTCGGGAGAAAACAATATTCTGAAGGCCATTTTACAATGTCAGCATTATCCTAATTCCAAAACCAGCTGTGGACACTATTAACAAAGAAAATAATAGACCAATATCCCTGATGATCATAGATGTTAAAATCCTCAACAAAATATTGGCAAACTGAATTCAGCAGTGCATCAAAAAGATCAAAAACCATGATCAAAAAGGATTTATTCCTGGGATGCAAGGTTGGTACAATATCCATGAATCAATTGATGTGATACATCACATACAAAATTAAAGGAAAAAATCATATGATTGTATCAATAGATGTAGAAAATCATTTGACAAAACCCAGCACCTATTTATGATAAAAACTATCAATGAAGTGGGAATACAGGGAACTTACTTCAACATAATAAAAGCTATATGTCAAATCCACAGCTAACTTTATATTTAATGAGGAAAAACTAAAAGTGTTTCCATTAAAATTATAAACTATACAGCATGTTCACTTTCACAGACCACTGGAGTTCTGGCCACAGAAATCAGGTGAGTAGAAGAAACAAAAGGCATCCAAATTGGAAAGCAAGAGGTAAAATTGTCACTATTTGCAGGTAACATGTAATTTGCAGGTAACATGCAATTTGCAGGTTCTTTATATAAAGAACCCTAAAGATTCCACCCAAAAACTAGAATTGATGGATTTATTAATGCAGTAGGATAAAACATAAATATTCAGATATTATTTGTGTTTTATTTTATTTTTAAGTATATTTTATTAATTATGCTATAACATTTCTCCAATTTTTTCTTCCCTTTATCCCTCCTCTACCCTGCACCACTCCTTGCCCTCCAGAATCCCTGCCCCTCATGACTGAGCTCATGCCCATGGGTTGTACATGTAAGTTCTTTGGCTTCTCTGTTTCTTATACTATTCTTAACCTCCCTCTTACTATTTTATGTCTATCAATCATGTTTCTTATTCTCTGTACCACCCCATTCTTCCCCTCCCCCACCCCACTGAAAACCCGCCATGAGATCTCCATTTCTGCTTCTGTTCCTGTTCTAGTTATTTGCTTAGTTTTTGTTTTCTTTAAGGTCAGTTGTTGATAGTTATGAGTTTGTTGTCATTTTACTGTTCATAGTTTTTAATCTTCTATTTCTTAGACAATAAACTATCAAACAGGGAAACTAAGAAAACAATTTCATTTACAATTGTGTCAAAAAATGCCTAGGAATAAATTTTTAAAAAGGAGGTAAAAGATTTGTACTCAAAAAATTATCTGATTTGAAGATTACAATCAAATATGATAAAATAAATGAAAGCATATAACATGTACCTGCATAGAAATAATTAATATCATTATAATGTGATACAACCTAAAGCAGTTTTTAGGTTAACACAATCTCTATCAAAATACCAATGATTTATATGACAGAACTGGAATAAATAATCCCCAAATTTAAGCAGAACCACCAAAGACTTCAAATAGCTACAACAAACTTGAGAAATAACAAAGTGGAAATATCATGCCACCTGATATCAAACTATACCACAAGGCTAGTAATCAAAATAGTGTGATAATGTCATAAAAAGAGCCACATAGGTCAATACAATAGAATAAAGAGCCCTGGAATAAACCTATGCCTATATGGTTAATTAATACATATTTCACAAAGGAAGCAAGAACATACATGGGTAAAAGCAGTCTATTTGATAAATGGTTTCAGAAAAATTGGACAAATATATGCAAAAAAAATGAAACCAGACCACTTTCTTACACCATGTACAAGAGAAACCTCAAAATGAGTTATAGGCTTAAATGTAAGAATCAAAATTGTAAAACTCCTAGAAGAAAACATAGTAAAATCTGTGACATTTACCTCAGCAATAGTTTTTTCTGATACATCAGATCAGACAAGGAAAACAAAAGAAAATAGAAACAAATGGAACTATAACAAACTAAAAAGTTTTTGACCAGCAAAGGAAACCTTTGACAAAATGAAGAAAAAAAAAAAAGACCCTACTGAATGGGTGAAAGATATTTGCTCAAGATACATTTGATAAAGGGTTAGTATAAAAAAACTCAGGTTAACTCATACAACTCAATACCAAAAATTTAAAAAAAAAAACTAATTCATTAAATATGAGCAGAAAACCTGAATAAACACTTCTCCAAAAAGGACATACAGATGGCCAACATGAAAAGACACTCAACATTACTGAAAATTAAAATCACAATGAGATTATTTCCTCACACCTGTAAAAATGGTTATCATTTTTTACCTTCACCAGAGGACATGCTTATTGATTTTAGAGACAGGAAAAGGGAGAGAGAGATAGAGGAAGAAAAACACTGATGTGAGAGAGAAACACCAATCAACTGCCTCTCACATGACTTGACCAGTGACCATACTGGCAATCCAAACATGTGCCCCAACTGGAGTTGAACCTGCAACTTTTCTGTTTATGGGTCTATGCTCCAACCAAGTCACACCAGCCATGGCAGAAAACTCAGAGAATGGCTGTCATTAATAAGTCAACAAACAAGTGTTGCTGAGGATGTAGAGAAAAAAGAACCCTCATGTACTGTTGGTGGCAATACAGAGTAGTGCAGCCACTATGAAAAACAGTATGGAGGTTCCTCAAAAAATTTAAAATGGAACTGCCTTATTACCCAGTTATTCCACTTCTGGGTATATATAAAAAAATCCAAAAAACACTACTTTGAAAGAACATATGTACCCCCCATGTTCACTGCAGCATTATTTACCATAGCTAAAATATGGAAGCAACCCAAGTGCCCATCAATAGATGATTGGCTAAAGAAGTAGTGATAAATATATACAATGGAATCATTTGCCACAGCATAGATGGATTTAAAGGGTATTATGCTAAATATAATAAGTCAGTCAGAAAATACAAATATCATTTTATTTCACTTACATATTAATCTAAAGAACAAAATAAATAAACAAAACAGAAATAGACTCACAGATACAGAAAACAAAATATTTGTTGCCAGAGGAGATGTGGGGTAGAAGATTGATTAAAAAATGTAAAGAGATTAAGAAGTACAGATTGGTAATCACAATATAGTCACAGGGATGTAAATTACAGCATAGGGAATATAGTAAATAACTATGCATAGTGCCAAGTGAGTACTGGAAATATTAGCAGGAACAATTTTTTAAATTATAAAATTGTCTAACCACTGTGTTGTACACCTGAAACTAAAGAAAAAAAACTTTATTAATGAAGATGATCACCACAGAGGGTCTATATTTAGGTCCCATAACTTAGTATTTCATTCATATCAATAAAACCCAAATAATTTCAGAATAAATTTTTCATTTATTGTCAGTAAAGTGGTGAGAGTCAGTTCCAGTATGGGCAATGGACCCATAAGTCATGCAGTGGTTACTGAATACTCTACTTGAGAAGAACGGTGCTTGACTCTCAGCTGGTTTGTTTGTTTTATAAAAGAAATTCTTTTAATTATTATTTTTTATAACAAAGATCTTTTCATGCCACACTTAAAAGCTAAATCTTAACATATATTACTGTTAGTGATTATTTTGTCTTACACCAATAAATAACTGAAATAAATATTGAAATAAATTTTATATTTTATTATGTATAATTAATATATATAAATAAATATTACAAATTTTAAAAATAAGACATCTTTTGTTAAATGAATTTGTATTTGGATTTTTACTATAAAAGTGTCAACTTCAATTTCTTTGAATGCCTTTTTTTCAAAAACTCACTATATATTTTCATTAGCAGCTATTAGACATACATGCCATTCCACATTGTCATCTTCTTTCCCAAGAGTTAGCAATTTGGTGAGTGGATCTCCAGCCAGGACAGTGTCACTCTTAGGAGATAAGTGTCCAGGATGTGCCACAAGCACACTTCTTTGTATCGGAGGGTTGGACTGTTTAAAAGTCTGGTTGACAATCGGGTGGTCAAGGGTCATGAAGGGTTTTACTTTCTGTCTCTGGACTTGCTGTACGTGAGTCCTCCCAGGAGTTTCCAGATATTGGGCAACCTAAAAATAGAAACCAAAATGTTGCAAAATGTAGCATCATATTGTATTTCAAAATTCTGTTTTCAACAATTGAATTACAACAATATCACTATAACATATAGTTGCTCTCAAATTTATGATCTGCAATTTACTAAAATATATTAAGTGCTAGCTATGTTTTTTACCATATAACCTTCAAAATTATATGCAACTAAAACAAAGTTTGGAATAAATATATAAGTAGTGATACTTTTTTCAGGGTCTAAAAAGGAAAGACTAAAATAATACAAAAAAGTTATAGACAATTCATTATTAGTGTAATTTTTACATTCCTTTATATTACAAATCTAAATATTCTATGGGGTATAATCACAACTATCTTTTAGTTTAAAAATTTAAAAGTTATCCAGGAGGGAACAGAAAGAATTTTTTTTTCTGGAAAAAGTCTAATCATTGCCAATATAATGGGAATGGTTTGCCCAACATTGGTGAAACCTTGCAGCCAGGGAGAGTGGTCTGGGATGTAGGTGCATGAAAATAACAACTTCACTGTAGTAATCAGTGGGCTGTACATGCTGTTGAGTGAGCATGTGTACTGTGTGGCCATCGCATTCAAAATGACTGAGTGAGTATGCAACAAATCTGAATCAAATTTTGTGTTAAGCTTGAACAGTCTGCTGCAGAAACTTGAACATTCCTCTGCAGATTCAGGAGGCCTCTGCTATGGGCAACTGGTGTTTGGCAGCTTCGTCATGACAACGTGCCTGCTCATGCATCATGTCTTGTGCAGAGTGTTTTGGTGGAACATCAAGTCATCCAGTTGACTCAAGCACCCCACAGCCCAGATCTGGTGCTCTGTGACTTCTGGCTTTTCCCAAAACTAAAATCACCTCTGAAAGAGAAGACCTTTCAGAGCGTTTGTGAAATTCAGGAAAATATGATGGGGCAGCTGATGGCAATTGGGAGAACTGTGTGAGGTCCCAAAGTGCCTTCTTTGAAGAGGACTGAGGCATCATTGTCCTATGTACATTGTTTCTTATATCTTTTATCTTCTTCAATAGATGTCTCTATTTTTTATATTACATGATTGGATAGCTTCTAGATAGACCTCATGTCTAATCACAAAGTATTACATGTGATTCTTTACAGGTGGCGAAAATCTAGATGATTATTTTCACTTTTCTATATTTTCCAAAGTATCTATACTAAATTTATTTTAATATTTTAATAATCTTGTTGCTAAAGCCTTTCATATTTCTTTTTATTTTTTATTTATTTTGTGTTATAACTTTTAAAGTACCCTGTACCCCCCATGCCCTGCTCCACCACACAATCCCCACATTATTTTCTATGTCCATGAGTCCTTCTTCCTTTTTGCTTGATCCTTCCACCCCCAACACCCACCAAGAGCTATTAGTCTCTTCTCTTAGTCTGTCTCTATTTTGCTTGTTAGTTTAGTTTGTTCAATAGATTCCACCTACTAGTGAAATCATATAACAACAACACTTTAGCAGAGTCATTATGAATGGCAAAAAAGCATTCAGAAAAATATGTAATAAACTAAACAACTGTATTATATTTTGAAACTCCTTTTTCAAAACATAGATTAAAATGCTGGGAATCTTCAGTCTAGCTATTGTAGTTAACAATATACCAACAATATACCATTATTTACATGAAGACAATTATAAGCATTTTCAAGCTTTCCCTTTAAAAACATCTGAAAGTATTATTGTCTGCCAGTCCTGTTTATATCAACTGTGCTGTGATGTGAATACATTTTCCTCAAGTGACCTATATATAAACCTATTTAATATTTTTCTCATGTTAAACAATAGTAAAGATTGCTGCACTGTGCCTATTTTACTTATTTCCACTACATAAACTACTCCTTAAAGCACTTAACATGAATTAGACCAGATAAATGGCATTTATGAAGTATTTTGCACTTAAAGTAGCTGGTTTGGGGTATGATATTGTAGCAGTTACTTTAGTTCAATTCTGCTATGCTGACAGTTTTATCATTATTTTAATTTTACTAGTATAAATAATTTTTCAGTCACATAAAAAGATTGATTGGTAATAGATATTATATATATTATTAATTATAGTGCTATAAACTAAAGTTATAACATAACATTGCATTAAAATGCCATGAGTATTTCTAGGGTAGCTATTTCAATTAGCCTAAATTTTAAATCAATACTTCTTAATCTATGTACATTTAAAAACACACATTATACATACATTTTTATATTCACAAATTTGTATCATTTATACAATGTAAATGAATACTAAAATATATGTTGTATCTACAAATGGTAAATATTTCTTATAAGAAAAGTATGTTGAATCAGAATTTATAACATTAGTTAATTCATTTTTCACTTTTCTTCCACCAACTGTAAAAGCCTTCATTAGAGTACTTGTATTTTGTGTTATATCAAGAGTACAAGAGAAGTCATAGGTGTGATCCCAGGGCCTGAGAAGTTTTCCATCTATGGCAGTATTAATATCAACTACAGCAAAAGCAACAATCGTGATAAAACTATGCAACAGGTACCAGACACTGTGCTGAAAAATTTACCCACATTACTACTTTTTATTGTTGTTATAACCTTAGGAGATAGGTATCACTAGTATATCCATTGCAGCTTATAGATGAAGCCACTGAGACTTAGAAGTTAAGTGCCATGTCAATTATCACTCCTTAGTGAGAGATGAATCCAGAATACAGAGGCTGCCTTCCTACACATTACACATATTGACTCAGTAATGTATATAACAAATTAAAATTTTGATTTTTTCCACAAAACAAGAGTTTAAAAAAATAATTGGAAGAGAAAATGGTTATAAATCAGATGTTGGAGGGAGATGGACCTATGCCTGGAGACTAAAGGAAGGAAATCTCAAATGCAAAAAATTAAAATGAGGACATTTTACTTTAATAAAAATAAGTGTCAAACAGTAAAAAGAAAGTTAAAAGGAAAGAGGAGATGGCAATGATGTAAGTGGGAGCTGAGCCCACTTGCTCCTGCACCCAACTGGGACACTTAGCAGATCTAAATAAATGGAGGCATATACCATGCTCATAGATTGGAATAAGTAACATCATTACAAGGTCCATATTACCCAAAGCAATTTATAGATTCCATGTAATTCTTATTAAAAATACCAATGACATATTTTACAGATATAAAACAAACATGTCAGAAATTTAATTGGAACAAAAGAAGACCCCACATAAACACAGAAATTTTGAGAAAAAACAAAGTAGGAAGGATCACGATACCTTATATCAAACTATATTACAAGGCCACTGTAATCAAAACAGTCTGGTACTGGCATAAGAACAGATATATAGATAAATGGAACAGAATAAAGAGCCAAGACAAGAAATATTCCAAGTAATGAGAAACAGAGGCCTACAACCAAGGCTACTTTACCCAGCAAGGCTCTCAAAAAAGATAGAAGGCCAAATAAAGAGCTTCCAAGACAAAAGAAGTCTAAAAGAATTTGCTGCCACCAAGCCAGCTCTACAAGATATACTAAAAGGTCTGCTTTAAGGAAAGGAAGGAAAAGAGACAGACAGAGAGGAACACAGGTACAAAAATGGCAATGAATAAGTACCTATCAATAATAACGTTAAATGTAAATGGATTAAATGCTCCAATCAAAAGACACAGAATAGCTCAATGGATAAGAAAGCATGACCCACACATATGCTGCCTACAAGAGACCCACCTCAGGACAAAAGACCATCACAGACTAAAAGTGAAAGGCTGGAAACAAATTTTCCAAGCAAATGGACAAGAAAAAAAGCTGGGGTAGCAATTCTCATATCAGACAAAATAGACTTCAAAAAAAGAGCCATAAAGAGTGACCCAGAAGGTCACTTCATAATACTCAAGGGAAGAATCCACCAAGAAGACATTAACATCATAAATATATATGCACCCAACATAGTAGCACCAAAATATATAAGGAAAATCTTAGAGGAATTCAAGAAAGATATAGACAGCAACACAATTATAGTGGGGGATTTTAACACCCCACTATCAAAAATGGACAGATCTTCCAAACAAAATATCAACAAAGACATTGCGGCATTAAACAACACCCTTGATGAAATGGACCTAACTGATATATACAGAACTCTTCACCCCAAAGAAGCTAAATACACATTCTTTTCAAATGCACATGGAACATTCTCAAAGATAGACCACATGATAGGGCACAAAACAAGCCTCAACAAATTCAAGAATATTGAAATCATACCAAGCATTTTCTCTGACCATAAGGGACTGAAACTGGAAACCAACCCCAAAGGAAAAAAACCAAAACACCTAAAATCATGGAGACTGAACGGTATGCTATTAAACAATGAATGGGTCAAGAATGAAATTAGGGAAGAAATCAAAAAGTTTCTGGAAACAAATGAAAATGATCTCACAACAACCCAAAACTTATGGGATAGAGCCAAGGCAGTCCTGAGAGGGAAGTTTATAGCAATACAGGCCTACCTAAAAAAAACAGAAACATTTCAAACAAATGACCTTACTCTACACCTGCAAGAACTCGAGGAACAACAACAAAAACAGCCCAAAGCAAGTAGAAGGAAGGAAATAACTAAGATCAGAGCAGAACTAAATGACATAGAGATTAAAAGTACAATTCTAAAGATCAATGAATCCAGGAGTTGGCTCTTTGAAAAAATAAACAAAATAGACAAGCCTTTAAGTAGGCTCATCAAGAAAAGAAGGGAACGGACACAAATAAACACAATCAGAAATGAAAGAGGAGAGATTACAACTGACACCACAGAAATAGAGAGGATTGTAAGAAATTACTGTGAAGAACTGTATGCCAAGAAATTTGAGAACCTAGGGGAAATGGACACATTTCTAGAAAAATATAATCTCCCAAAACTCAATGAAAAAGAAGTAGAACACCTGAATAGACCAATAACAGCAAAAGAAATTGAAGCAGTAATCAAAAAACTCCCATCACACAAAAGCCCT